TCATATCCAGAGAATTCTGATTTGAAATCTATCTTCAAAGAAAAGTGTTTCTCCCAGTTTTAAAACATTAATGACTTTAATATTTCACAAGCACGTCCATAGCTCTGATAGAAATGAAACCTTTTTCAGCAGCCAGATTTTAGGAAGGTAGCCTGTAATCAAAGTAACCTCAGTAACAGTGCTCAGGACCATCATTGAAATGGTCTTCTATTTAAACAGTCCGAAAAAACAAGTGATTTCCTAAATGCCACAAGGTCATTGACCTGTTCGGGTATAGAGTTTTAGGAGTCACTAGAAAAGTGTACTTCTTCCTTCATTTCACATACGGAGCTATTTTAGACTTAAAAATCTTAAAGAAGTATTGAATATACTAACACACTCTGAAAAATCTTTCTTGATGTATACCTGAAATGCAGGTAGCTGAACAGACTAGCCATTGAACTGAGATAGCGCCCCAAAATAAGGGTGAGAAATATGTGAATGGAAATTATTAAATCATGTCCTAGACAAGCAACGCATTTAGCTCGGCACTTGCAGAGAGGAGCAGAGAGCAGACTTTAAGCTGCAGTGGAATTTTGTGCATGATCTGAGAAGAAATTAGTAACTAGAATATTCTGCAGCAGGATTCGTTAGCCTTTGACTAGGAATAAAGCTGAACTTCCAGAAAATCCCAATCCTAGCCAGCCAAGATTAACAGAAAATTCAGTTATGCCTTTAGTGTCAACGCAAGTTTTAACTCTTTTACAGTAAGTGTGAAAAGGACATCATAGCAACACCGATATCATAATACTATTAAAGCTTAATTCCACTGTCTCCCAGTTGGTAAGAAAAAATGGAGCAGAGTGGACGCAAAGGGGCCGTACAATACCGCAGTACAAAGTGAGGTAAGACTGAGACAAGCAAAGCATGGGGCAATATACTTGCAGGAGATACCATAAAATTGTTAATATTTTTGGTACCGATTGATATAATGTATATTAAGAGTCACAGTTCTACCATGATGTGTATTCCATCCTCTGCTAAATACTGCTTAAACAATAGAAGAGAAAGTTTGAATCTCACCTGAGGAAACTTTGTATACTTTATATGGAAATGTCATCAAAATGATTTTTATCAAAATCATCAGAGCAGGGATCAAAATGTACTTCTGAAATACTACAACAAGTACCTTTACTATTAGGCTTACAGTGGTGTTTCACATTGGCTTGCTTCTTAGGCCCAGGTCTTTATTCTTCGTAGTAACCAGATTCAAGAAGCAACTGATCCAGACTTATAACCCTGGCAACTAAAGCATTTTCCTACATTATCAAACACAAGATTAAAATTCCCAAGGTTGGGGAGAGTTTAAACCAGTATCTTGCATATCCAGTGTGAGTACTGTATCATCAGGGAGGGCTACGAAAACCATCATTAATGTGTATATTAAAAATCTTTTTTTAATTTGCAATGTGTATGATAAATTATATCTGTTAAAAAAAAAATGCCCAAAACAGTAGGTGCCATTGCATTCTCTGAAGAGCCTAATTTCTTTGTGCAACTTTTTCTCCCAGATTAAGAACCAAGTTAGGAGTAATGCTTTGAAATTCAATTTTAGAATTTAAACCCTAAATTCTGCCAAGTCTCACTTCAGCAGCACTATTAAAAGTAGATTATTCCTCAAGTCATTTCCCTTGCAAGGGAAAATCAAGACTTCGTTTTTTTTTCCTCTACATCTGAATTACCAAAACACTGGACAGTGGCTTTCTATTTCGAGAAAATAGTACAGACTATACTTCCCCTCATTTTTTGCCACCTTTTTTGATTCATTAGGAACAATTGTGGTAGGCTGTATTGGCAAGAGTATAACCAAGAAGCTGAGAGAAATGATTCTCCCTCTTTATTTGGCACTTGTGGGATCACATCCGGAGTTGGGCGTCCAGTCTCAGCCTTCCCAGGACAAGGAGGACAGCGACGTGCTGGGGCGAGCCCAATGGAGGCCACCAAGATGATGGAGGACGAGAGCAGGCTGAGAGAACTGGGTTTGCTCAGCCTTATGCAGAAGGGAGGTTCGTAGTGCTGCCTACCACCACCTAATGGCAGGGTACAGACAGAGCCAGACTCTTCCCAGTGACAGGACTAGTTGGGGCAGGCACAAGTTGCAAAATGGGAAATTCCAATTAGAACTGGAACTAGAATCCTTTTTTTTTTTTCTCCTATGGGTGGTCAAACACTGGAGCAGGTTGCCTACGTTGGTATTTTTCATAATGTCCTGCCAGTTTTAGTTCTTTATCTTCTACAGAATGTACCCATGGAAACCGAACAGCTTCTTCTCAGAAACATCAAGAGGAATCTAGAGCTAAGATATTAGCAGGAAATCATAATCCTAGTGGTATCATCAACCTTAAAGGAAGCAATTTCCTTTAGATAATCTGACTTAACACCTAATTCCTTTTGTTTGGTGAAGACTGGAAGAACATCCTTTGGCTACTACAAAATCTTTCTGAAACTTTCAAATTATGATTCAGTTGCTGATGTATTTAGACGGAATAACTGAATGGTGAGTCTGCATTCAGGAAAACAAACAAAATATGTAATCAGTCCAACTTTTACGAATTTGTTAACTGCCTTTGAAACAGGATACTAGTGCTATTATGATGGTTATCATTTGCTGGATTTAGGAAAAGGTCTCTGTAATCTACATCGCAATTAATGTAATTGATGATGTTGGAAAAAAACAAATTTCAATTAAGAAAATGTTCTACGACAGGTTTGCTTTACTCTTTGTGCCTTCACTTATCTCTTCCAGAAGTCTGATTAACATCTTTAACATCACGGTCAACTACTAGGCAATTAGAGAAGAAATGCTGAAACAAGAGTAAGTGTTAAATTCTGTTGACAGTAACATTCTGTGATTATATATTTAGTTCCTCTCGCCAAGCTTCTGGATTGATACAAACGCCGTTCAGGTTGTGAATACTTGATTCAGTTACATAAATGCTGTGCTGCAATCCCACCTGACTCACCGCTAGTACTCACTTGTCATTCTGATACTTAAATCTACAGCTCACAATATACAGAGTGTACTTCCTAGATGACCAGGAATGCAGGCAGTGCTTACTAGACAGAAAAATGTATTTCTTATTACTTTAAATTCTAGTGGGACCATAAAGATTTCAGTACTTGTTTTTTTCCTGGGATCACCAATAAAGGAGATATCTATTGTATTCATGCTACAATGAACTGTACGCCACAGATCAGATTTGGACTTTGTGGCAATGCTATCATCTTATGCTGGTTCTGTCTGAATTATCTCCCAAAAGAGAAAGACTTCAAAGGGCAGACCTGTTGTTTTATACAAATTTTAAGCATAATGCAGGAGCTTTGCCTTGAAAATATATGCCAGGATAAAAATAATATCTTAGTTAAAGCATAGGCTAACTCACAACACGTAAGTATACTAATTACATTCTAAAATACTGCCCTGCTGTTAGAAAATTTTTGATGGTGTTTTTATTTTTACTACTGAAGTCCCTTTCTGAAGCTTTATCAGTTTTCAAATATAGATCAAGTTAAAAAATAGAGGCTTCTGCCTGAAGCCAGATCTCTTTTAGACCATGAATAATTATGGGCCCAGTTCTGAGAAGAAATTCATAAAACGTCAATTAAACAAAGTAACAAAGTTACTTTGAGAAGCGCTTGCATGTTTTTGAATAGAACAGATCTGAACATAATAGTTTTTCCACTGCGCTATAACAGGGTTTTATTGCAGGCAAAAAAAGTGTCACAAGCATGCTTAAACAAAACAAAACAAACAAAGAATCAAAACACACACACTTTCGAGTATTGCAGCAACTAGGAGATAATACTTTTTGGTATTGAATATTTGGTGTTCTTTGTTAAGTCTTTGCAAAATGTCCTCCTAACGAGTTCGTGAGCAGTGCTACTAAAAGTATAATTATCTAATGCAATTCATCAAAGGAACAAAGAAATGAAATGAAACTGTCTAGTTTCCTGCTATTATAGATACAGAATGATGTGGTTTCTTTTCATAATCATGTAGAACTCCATTTTAAAATTAGTTCCTCCAGAGAGTTCATCTTTCTTAAACACTGGCAACCTCACACAATAAAAAGTATTTTGATAGAAATTACACGAAAACCTCAAAGAATGAACCAATACTTCCCTATTTTTATTTATCTATTTTGAGAAAGCAATTATGCTTTCTCACAGCTGCATCACAGTGGCACCTTCATAGTCTTTCAGGAGCCCACTAGTACATGCCCACTGTCTTTGTTAGTTGTTTTAAGTGATGATTCTCCAGCTTACATTAGGCTCATTATAGCTTTCAAGTGCATGACCTTACATTTCCTACTACAAAAGTTCCTGCCAGGCTTCAGGTCATTCAGCTCTTTCAGTACAATAAACTGACTCACTCTGAAAGGAAAGTCTGAAAGTCACATTTTTCCACATTCAGAAGCCACAAGAATTCAAAATTTGCCCGTGAACTTCAAGGTCGTCATCTCTAAGAGAATAAGTATCAATCTTGTAGAAAAGACTTATTTTACCACAAAACAAAACTGTGCAAGACAAGTAATCAAACAAGTACAAAAACATATTCTAGCAAAACTCGATCTTCCTTTCTTTCTTTCTTGTATGTGAACAAACAAAAGGCAAGCTCTTAGACCTGAGGCGGAATGAATTTTTCCACAAGAAACAATGAAATGTTGAAAGGAGTCTGAAATTCAAATATTGAACTCAGGCTACTATAAGCAAATGGTTATGACGCATTGTTTTATTCGGTTCCATTTCAACGTTTTGGATTTCATATAGGGCAAGTTTAGGATGCTCAGGATATGCTAAAGTACTTTGCCAAAACAAACGTTAAGTGTTCGCTTTTATGCAGAGATTCCTTAAGCAGCTATAGAAGTCCTCAGGAAAAAGATACCTGATACAACAGAAGAACACTACATTGACAAAGCATTATGATCAGAACATACATCAAAAAAGAGGAAAATACTTACAGATTTTTTATGTCTACGGCGCCTCGGAAAGCCTTCCTTGGTATTGCTTGAATCTGATTTTCACTAAGATCACTAAGAAAAGAAAGATTAAATAAAGATTAAAATTTATCATATTTATTTCCATGTATAACAAAAAAAAAAAGTAAAAATAATTTCAGTCATTCCAGCTCAGTCAATGCTTCTGATAAAGCATATTTTATAACTTTAATTGCTTTTTAATCAAAGAAAAAGAAACAACAATATTCAAATTAGTTAGTCTGTGTTGCACTAAGTAGTTCCTTTACAAAATTACAATATATATGGCACACAAAAAGTAGCAGCACTACAAAGTTTAACACCGAAGTTCAGTTTGATTTAATTTTGAATTAATTGGTTTTAATTTTTTAGCCAATTCCAAACCCATGACATCAAATTTTTGATATAAAACATGTTCGGTTTTATGCAAGGAAGATTGAAGAAAAGAGGAACAAAAATGAGTAACAGCCTGTTGAGAAATAACAAATATCAAGCTGTATCATGTCTGAGATGAATAAATTTCTCAATTTTGTTTCATATATTTTTTAAAAGAAGGTATTAAAGAACATCTTGCATTAGGTATCTACTGCTGCTGCCCGTCACCCCCCAAAATCCCTGCATGACTAACTTAACCTGGATATCTGAAATTGGTATCTTTTCCTACAGAGAAATGTTCTTAACATAAACTTATTAATGAATATTTTCTGCTATCAATAAAATATCCAACCCTTCTTCTGAAACTTGGAAATATCAGCCTTAGCAATTCCATATGGCAATAAAATCTAAAAAAAAATCTACAAAGATAAAATAAAAAAGTATAGAAGACACAGCAAAAGAAACCCTCCAAAAACACACACACACAAAGCACAGTCCAATCTTCTTAATGTAGGCTACGTCCCATTAGGAAGTAATTCAGTGCAACAGGAGAGGATGACTAGATTAAGGTAGCTGGTGATATATCTACACTGTAGGCAGTCTGAAAGTTTCGCTTCAGTTTATAGTTTGCTCTCCTGGACCAAATGTATCCACATGGTTCAAAGAGGTCTGAAGGCCTTCAAAAGGACCTTCCTACCCTTTAGTCTTAAAATCTGCGAAATCAGATCTTCTTTTGGAGGCCTTCAGAGATGCATCTCTCTATAGATAATATAGGGAACATAAGGAATTACACTAAGAGGCCTACCTGAGCATCTGAATTAAAATTAGAAACAAGTTAGATGCATACTAGGCTTTGTCTACACTAGGACTTTAACTCAGTTCATAGAGCAGTTTTGTTGTGGCTAACTAGATTTAATTTTCGTAAAGACAAGCCAGGAGGCTGTTGCAAAAAGCACATCGGACACACTCCAACCTTTAATGGGAGAAGTAAGCTTTCTCAATATCTTGCTTTTTAGAGAAATTTTTTAGATGACCTTTCTAGACACACCTTTTAGGAGAAACATCCCAAAAAGATGCCTACAAATAAGATACCAAACGGATGAACTGAACACACAGAGTGAATAAGCAAGAATAATTTCATTTATTATATATAAGAAGTCTTCCAGTTATTAGAGATTAGGCCTAGAGATCTCTTACAGATTTAGGCACTTAAAAAACAGTTTGAAAAGTTTATAAAACCCCACACTGCTTACCCATAGCAAAATTTACATTGATATAATCTGCTTGCGAAAATAATTCTACATACCCTGAGAGCAACTTTGTTTTATTCAGTTCATTGGTGGCTTAGGAAAAATCACATTCTGTTTACTAAATCTTTCATGTTTTGTGCATCTAACTGCACTGCAATACCTTGCAAAGTATATATAAAACAAGGCCCAATTTAACAATATTAATAATATGTGAAAAAAGAGAATCTATGAGCTGTGATTTAATTTTCAAGCAACCTAAGTAATCTTGAAATGGGATATGACTGCACTGCTCTGATAATAAATTCAACAGCAATGAATGAAACAGCAACCTTCAGCATTTGTTACGGTAACATGATTTAACAGACTACTTCCTTAAAAGAATCCATTATAAACAAACATAAACAGCAAATGTCTATATTTACATTTCTCTTTAATTGACAAATATATTTTATCTACATAAAAATTCTGTGTAAAGTGGTAAGTTAGCAGTGGTGGTTTCTATCATGATAAATGATTAGTTTATAATATAGATATATGTATATAACTATGTAAACCACTGCCACATTCATAAATATATACTACATGAGGTAATGGTGCATTACACTTTTTATGACCGTAAAGAGAGTATCACCATTTACCATTTTATATAATTTAAAAAAAGTGGAAGCGGAATAAAATTAAGGCAACGAGTAATTTTAAAAAAAAAACTAATGAAAAATATCAGAGGCCAAAATCTTTTTTTCTTTGACTAAATGAAAAACTCAGCACACATGCAAGAACTTAAACCTAGGGGTTATTGAGCCAAGTGTTTCAATAAGTAATACATTGGGACTGTATGTGTGTGCACGTATGCACGAGAGAGAAAAATGATTAAAAGCATGGTAGATTAACTGCTGGGTCATCATAGTCAGCATCTTTTTCATGTCCCACAGATTCACATAAATTTAATACGGTGTGCCCTGTTAATTTTACTACATTTGAAACGTAAACCACTTGACTGCAAAGACTCCCAAAGTTGCTGGGCAAGGCATTTTTTAAATCAGCCCTCTAAATGTAGAGGGATAACTAATATTGTTAAAATACTTTTCCCAAGAAAAAATACTTGGCAATGCATCTGATGTTTTGTGAAACGTTTTTGGAATTGTATATGTGATAAAAATGCAAGTTATTAATTCGTATCTTTATTGCAAAATTCTAACTCTTGTAAAAAAAAACTTACTATTTTCAGCATAAAATCTATTCCTACTTTCAGTATAAAAGTTTTTAATAATTATTTATTAATTGATTCAAGTTTTTGTCTGCCCAGTCTAATAAGGTTTCCTTATGAAAACCTTGAGGGCCTTAAACAAACATCTGACTTTCTTCCTGAATAAATTATACCTTAGCTTCACACCCTGTAGACTTAAACTGAGTAAGAAGTAGCTATGTTTTTTTCTTGTCTTTTTTTTTTTTTTAATTTTTTAGGTTTTTAACTCACACCACTGCAATTCTTAAATCGCTCACAGAAGTGAAGGTCACAAGTAGCACAGGGTGCACTGCAGCTTTCTGGGGAAATGGGGCAAACATCTGTTTTGTAGGTGAAAGCAGACAATTTTGCAAGGGATTATGTTATGCATGGACTTGACTTTGCAGCCTGTGTTCTGCAGCAAAGAAAGACCCAAATAACCTTTTCAGCCTGCTGGTTATTATTTGCTATTCCTGCACTAATAGCTGTGTGAACTCCCTCTCTCATTTCAAAAAGAGGCAGCATTTGAACATGTCTCTACTCTGAGTGTAATTTATGATGGCCCTTGGGAACCCTAAAATGAAAGAGGATTTAGGAATGTAAAGAAAATTTTAAGCCACACAACAAACAAATATTCTATTTTTACAAGACAAACCTGAACTTCTAAAAGAGGAGGCCTGAACCAGCCTTCACGTTTGAAACCAGCAATGTGAGATACTTTCAAACAAACTATCCTCCATGAACATTGTAGCCCAATGTTACAGAATTCACGCAAAAAGAACTGATTCAAAAGTGATTTGCATACAGCCAGAGTGAAAATAATCAAGGATATCCTACAGACTTTTGAAGGAGAGCATCATGACGTAATAACCAGGCATTCTGACAAATTCAGCTTACGTGGAGGTGAGCTGTTCTACGGGCCTTAGTCTTTCAACTAAAGTGTTCGACTCTATTAAGTTGTTTGTAGAGAGGATATATTCCAAACTACTAAGTCTGAAATGGAGTGTCTTAGACATCGACTCTTTAAGAAAATTACTTAGTGCAACTTTGCACTTTGCATTCATTTCATTTACTGGCTTGTGCAGCTCCTTCAATCACGCAGCCTTCACCATACGTTGCCTTTCATACGTTAGTAAACAAGTGCTCAGGGCCAGAAGAGCCATGTAAAACTTGAATATCTTTTAGTTTGAGATGACCTCAATTATGAAGTAATTCATATGCATCTCTCAAACTCATTTCCCTGAACCAGAAGGTGGCACAGGAACACAGGGGTTAAATATCAGATTCTTACACAAAAAGGTACCTGGGAGGAATATGCCTAGTTAGGCTTATAGTGCTTGAAAGATGCTCTCTTCGGAGCGGAAACAGATGAGCACCCATGTTGCTCTGGTTGTGACTGCACTGTCCTGTTTATAGTGGTTTGTTTGCTTCAAATTTACATATGGTTAGGCTCTGCACGTGTCAACCATTTTGCTGCCTTGTAGTATTCTGGCTGCAACATCATTTTCTCAAAAGCAAAACAAAACCAAATCCATATACCAAACCAAGCTTGACCTCACTCCATGTGAAAATATACATGGGAGAATACTGAAAAGGTGTGTGAACTTTTGCTCACCTGCACTGATTCTTTGAAAAACTTGCACCCATTTTTTTTGTTTTCACAGAAAAGTGAAGATGTGAGATGTGTTTCTGAATCAGAAACTAAATATACTGGACTAGAATAAGATTATCTTTGGATAAACATAGTCTATCCAAACATTCAAATTAATACAAAACAGAGAATTATTACAGTCTCTGAGAAATAAGTGATCAAATAACTCATGGAATTATCACGCTTATGTAAAATATAACTCCCTTTTAAAGCAAATAAAGCCAGGATAATTCAAAGGCAATGTATCCTGAAAAATATATATGCCTGATCTTTTAAATATGCTTTCAGAGAGTAGGATTTCATTCTGGTATTTTCAATGACAGTGCAGTAGAACTTGACTAATTTCAAATTATGCCTGAAAGAATGTAGACTTCTCTATTTCATAAATTGATGAAATAAGAAAGAATCATTGGAGGAAGAAAAAACAAAAAGCTCTCACTCTAACATCCCCCTCCTCAGTTTCATCCTATGTATTCTGTTAATGCTACCGAATCCTTCCTAAGAAATAGGACAAAACTGGTGCATTTCTATTTATCATATTTACTAGTTAGTAGAT